GCTACAGCAACGTACTCACATCCACAACATACATATAACAGTGTCTGGCAAGTGACTCCACTAAAAGAGAGACAGCAGAACAGCAGTAATGGGGAAAAAAACGGTTAGATCTCATGGAAATATGTCAAAAACATGCAACATTTCGTAAGTAAATCACCATCTTACCCAGCTAACCCAATAGAAAATATATATATATAAATATATATGTATATTTAAATATTCTATGTTTGGGGATTGAGGGAGTTTTTAGTGCAACTGATCCAATTGAGGGGCACATCTATTGTTAAAGAACTATTGCTATCTTAATCATGTCCCAATGGATTCAATATTCAACATTATAACATGCACAATGGATACAAATTGAAACCCAAGCAGTGCCACAATCAATAGGAGGTATAACGCTTTTGGTGACTTCCAATTTCTTTCCACAAAGGAAATGTTCATTAGGTCATTAAATAAAACGAGCGTACTGCAAGGGTTTAGCAAAACATAGTAATAAGACATTTAGCTATACAGTCCTAAAATACATCTTATCAGAAGTATACAAGCTAATCAATCATTCAAAGTCAAATGAGAAAAAAGGCAAACAACAAGGCAACATGTTAAGCATATAGAAACATGGAAAAACACATAAGCTAGGACAGTACTTGACATAAAGACTATAGGAGAGAAATCTGAGCTTAGATTAAAAGGGTGAAGAAATAGAAAAGTTTCAAATCAAGAATCCAAATCGTCTCAATATGAGTCATTATTTAAAATTAGTCTTACGTAACCAGCTGAAATCCAGCCTGGATAAGACGCTAAATCATTAACAATAATGATTTGGAAACTATTGCCGCAAATTGGTCAATTACTCAAATATATATATATATATATATATTTATATATATAAAAAAAACATTTTGGTTTGCAATTTATCGACTTACAATAAATTGCAATTGCTTTTAAAGAATTTGAAGGGGAAGGGGTTATTACCTCATCTCCTTATACAAACCAGAGACAAATAAGCAAAGCTACATCAGGGTAGGTGGGATACTATAACAACATTGGACACATTGTTATACTATTCCACCCACCTTAATGAGGATCCTTTCGGCGTGGCGATCCCGTAGCCTTTGGAGTCCAGGTTGCCTCCCACCTTCATGGTGTCACAGGGCTTTCTCTGCTCGATGTACTCGTTCATCGTGGACTCCAGCAGGTAGGCGTACTTCCCCTTGGACTTGCGCACCCTCACGACGCCCTCGGCTGTGGTTTTCACAAACACGGAGGGTTCCGCGCTGCGCATGTACGTCCACATTTTGTCAAAGAGGGCGATTTTTGAGCGCTGAAAAAAAGGGACAATGGTAAAAGCAGCAGCTGTTAGTACAATCAGGTCGTAACAGCGACATTGACTTCTTTGTGTTTTCTCTGGTATTGGTATGGTTCCTACAGTGTACCAATTCAGATTCAACTGCTGGATTTTTTCATTTCCTCATTTCATTTCCCAAATGAGCAGAATCCTCAGGAGTTCTTACCCTGAAAAACTCTTTGGTGGACCCAGAGTCCAGAGTGCCGTAGGCTATCTCGGTCTGTTTTGCCAGGTCTTCTGCGCTTTCAATCGGAGAGACCATCCTCTCGACGGTCAGGAAAGCAGCCAGGTTAGCGGTGTAGGAGGAGATGATGATCAACGTGAAAAACCACCAAACGCCACCAACGATGCGTCCAGAAAGAGATCTATTGGAAGAAAATATTCACTTGTGTTTGTGATCGTTTAGCGGAACTTGACACTGTCAGTTTTATCAAATAATTTGTCATTAAACTGTAGTCCGTAAGAAATGAATATTAGAAAAATTGATTTTCCTGAGTTTTAATTCTTGAATGTAAAGAATGTTAACTACAGTTGTAGAATATTTTGGCAATAATTCTTTATCTCAGTCCACATGAGACGTGAGGATACTTTCCTTAAATGTGAAGCAAGTTCATTAATACTCAAACTATTACTGATATTTTAACAAAAATTGTTTGTAAAGTACACGATAGCCTCAAGATTCAGCCACCATTTAACGAACAATGTCATCTTGTCACACTTAAAATCAGCACTTCATTAGTTATGTAAAAAAAGTAGGTAGTAGTAGTGGTCGGATTTTTTTTTCAAAAGCCTGCCCAATGTGAAGAATGCATCACAAAACAGATACACCAGGAAAAAGTGTTTTAATTCACTGCTGGTATCATCACGCAGGACAAAGACTTGTGAAGGTCACAAACTCACGGCAGAGTGCAATAATACGACTTAGTTCTTTCTCCTAACATTTGGCCTCCAAGCTCAACAAATATCTCAAACAAAGGAGGAAAGCCTCGCTTCAGTCGAAGGAATAAATCATACCCACGGCAGCACCCTGTGACACTGTCTCCTTATTTAGAGTCATGCTAACACCTCTCACATCACCAGTATGAGATGGAGAAGACGCGTTGAATCATCTTTCATCTCGGTGGAATACATGACTCAAACCGTGCTCAAAGTGTCTGCTCTCACAAGCTATTAAATTTATGTACGGTAAAGTTTGTCAGACGCTAAAGCACCACCCCCCCAACGCGCCTAATAACTGTATGAACCCAGAAAGCAGCGTGGACGGCTAAATGCGGATTCCTCTTGTTTCTTGTCGCCATGCAACGTTTATCGAGGAAGCTCAAATTTAGTATTTTAGTATGAAATGCTTTTTAGCATGTGCTGAGGAACGAAATAAAGCACACTTACATTCCAGGTTACAAACCCATGAAGTCACAAGTTACTTTGTGATATTGGTGACATACCTAGGTGAGATGTCACAGCCTTGGCGCATGAAGGCTCCAAGGGAAAACCAGAGACTGTTGAATATGCCGAACTCGTTGGTCGACTCGTTGGTCTGGATCTGCCCGTCCTCGTATTCCTCGGTGTGCCACTCGTACGGGCTGAAGCGGCTCACGAGAAACAGCACCACGCTGACACCGATGTAGGCGAAAACGATACACATCCAGATCTCGTAGGCCAGCGGGTCGAGAAAGGAGAAGACCCCCGGTTTGGATTTCTGAGGTTTCTTGATCATGATGGAGATTCCCAGAGACATGAAGGGTTTGGAGAAGTCAATCACCTCCTCTCGGACCAATGTTATGGTGAGAGGGGCCACCGCGATGTCCGCTTTCTACCGATCCAAAGGAACAAAGTAACCAAAATAAGTGGCGCTGGTTAAGATTCAGGTTACCTCCTGATAGCGACAACTCACCCCGTAGACCAACTCTCCGACCATTCCATTCCAGATTTTGGTTTCTGCATCTCTGGCTCCGTATTTCCCATCCCCCACTATTTTCAGTTGATATTTGAAGCCGCAGTGCTTCGCTATCTCCGCAGCCAGGTCGACGCAGTAACCCTCGTAGCGCTCGTTGTCCACGTAAGAATCAGCGTTCTTTTTTAGCATTACATACGGAGCTTCCTGGAGGACAGAGACACAAAACAAAAAAAACAGGACTCAGCACAAGAGGTTTGAAGTTACAAAGAAGCGTATAAAATAAGTGTTATGGATCATTCTGAGAACAAAATTCAGTCTAAATCGAATAATGTCTCGAACTTTATCTCCAGACACTGAAAAGACTAGAGACGCTTAAACAAACTCATATATTTCCTGGCATTTACCAAGATGGTGGTGACAATAACTGTTTTGTTTTCCATTCCTGTCGTGTCGTTTGCGAAGACGTCCGATTTGGTGACAGCCATTTTGTCAGCTTCATTCCAGTATCCAATCTGTTGGGAGGAACGACAAGAAGAGCGGTAAAACATTCGTACAGTTATTCTGCTGCTCGAAAATTGCTGCTGTACATAATCTGAGCATCAAATTAAAACCTTCCACAATATAAAACAGTTTCATTAAATTAGATAGGCATTGACTCCGACCTTCACGGGGCCGTTTGTCTTTAATTCCATTATGTTCACTGAGTAGTTGACTCGCTTGCCGTGCTGATCGAACTGGATGTTTCCTGTCAGGCCGTCCACACGAACCTTAGAGACACGACATACAACCTTTTACAACATGACACTCGACTGCTAAGGCGTATGAAGACATTTTGTGCATAATTCATCGTTCCTTATTCTATTTGGAACAATTAGTTTGATGTAAGTTAAAGTGGAAGGAGAAACGCCAGCATGGGAGAAGTCTGAACGCTTCCTATTGTTGAAGAGGCAAAGTGAGTTGGCTTATTTTTCTGCCAGTCCTCCCAATAATCTGAATTAGAGAGCGTTTAGCGACTCTAGGGACTGCACACAACAGGCCTTGGCCTTCAACAAGTTAAAACCATGATCGGAGAAACGCAACCCTTCATGCTATGTCTGTACAATCCAGTCATGAGGAAACAGAAGGCATTAATTTCTGTGCAGTTGATTGCTTGTAAAGGGAAACAGAGTGAGACTCCCACACAACACTGTGCTATAATGCATAAATGCTATAAAACAATATGGGGATATCCCACATCTATCAGTGGTGGAGATACAGATAAAATGGAAACCCTTTTCTCACCCTGCCAGTTTATTTCATAAATTCATTTGAATAGCTTTGCAGAAGTCAACACAGGGACTAAGTCAAGTTGTTGGACTGTTTGTGTCCGATGTGATCCACCAACTTGTATTAAATTCTAACCAAGCGAAAGCCTGACCTAGTACTTGCATTTTAGTTTGTTAGTTTGTTTCAATTTCTAGTCATTCTAAGACAAAAGTTTTTAACACATCAAACCAAATAGATCTGTTAAGCGTTTACTTTGTGATATAATTTATAGCTGGTTGCAGGAAACATGGTTGTTCAGCTGGTTTACTGCTCTTATCAGAGACCAGTGATCACGCTGGACCTCCTTAGTAGAACGTTGGCCTTTTCTCTTCATCAAATATTTCAGGTACATTTTTTCTTTGAGTTTTCCCCTGAATGTTGTTATTCCAGTGAATTTGTAAGGTAAAATGTTTCTGGTGATGTATTTTTTAAGTTTAAAGTTGCTCCTGGTTTAAAAGGAGGAATCCTTTGCAATTTCAGAACTACAACCAAAAAAAGCGTTGGCTTCACGTTGTCTGCTCGGTTTCTCAGCAGGAGTGAATCTATGTTGCTTGATAGCTCAGAGGCCAGTTTTTGTAGACCTCTGTGTCTCTGCTAAACAACAGCCGTCAGCATATCTGAGCCTGATGAAAACCTCAGTCTTTCAATTTGAAGTAGCTCCGGTGGGTGTTTTGTTTCCTGAGGGATGTGTGATGTTACCACGGCAACAAGGCAAAAACCAACAAAACATGGTGTCCATTATGTAATGTGTTACCTGTTTCAGCGCGCGTTCGATCTCTACACCCTGAGTCCACGGCACGGCGGGATTAGCCAGGCAGTCCCCATTGTTGGCCTTCCTGGTGAATTCGATTCGCTGTTTGTTCAGGTAGCGGAAGGCCTCCGTCATCACCTGCACGGCGTCATAGGTCAACGCTGATGTGTACTGAAGCACAACAAAAGGGAAAAGAAGTTGGGTCGTCAGAGAGGCAAAAGTGTCTCGGCATCTAAAACTGGTGCTGGGTGACAGCCTTTTTTTTGTCCGATTGCCCTTCAACTTAATTCCATCCTGGGAAAAATCACTTTTTTCACTGCACATGACTTTGTGACTTCTCTTGACCGCATGCATGGATCTAAATATTGTTCTTTAATATTTTGAGGCAAACTACATATGGATTGTCATGTCTGTGCCTCATGTCAAACCAAAGATCTCCAACACAACCTTGCATCAATGTTTGGTGGCTTTAAACATAGTGAACAGGCTTAAAGGTTCGTTCATGAGATTCAACTTGTCACCCAGTGGGGACCAACATGAACCATCACGTATCTTCCTCTGATGTTCTAAACACACAAACACATTGTGTTTGGCATTTAAACATCTTGTCCTAATTAGAGTACCTTTTATAGGCCAGGTCTGATGGTCTTTTATTTTCCCTGCTTTATTTATGGTATGTGCTGCACTAGTTTAATCTTCGTTGTAAATGTCAGCGGGATTTTTAGAACTAGTAAACATGCACAGGAAAATGCATGCATGTAAGATTAACAGTGCATAATAATCTTCACTCCAAGAGGTGTTTAATGATGCACGCGGTGTGGACTTGCAGCTGTGAAGTTGTGGGGGATGCTGATGGAAACAGCATACTTTTAATTACATCAGAGCAAATGAGCCACCAGCAATTACAAATATATTTTCAATCAACAATACAAGCCCTCGAAAAAATCAAAAGATGGAAAACTCACTCTTATTTTACTATCGGCTCCAGGATACTCCTTCTCTTCCAGGGCCTCCCATCTCTGATCAAACTTGGACACCAAAGGATCATCAAAATCAACAATCTGAAAGCCCGACACATTGGCACCGCCATACTGGATTTTGGTTAGATCGCCGTCAATGAAACCCTGGAGATATCAGATTGAGACACAGATATTATTTCTCTATTAGAAGTTTTTTTTTAAACGTACATTGTAATGACACACTTCTAAAACAAATACAGTAGGTCTGTCAACTTACTAGATTGGCGATAATGTAGTGGTAGCCTTTGACATGTCTGCCAATTGTGATGACCTGTAGGATGATGAGACAGAGAAATTATAAGCTCTCTCTGGAATGAAGAAACAAGTCTTGGGCAAAGAAGACTATATTATAAAGGTTCTTGAAAGAATTTCTTCGAGAAAATGTATTTTCTTTTGAAATCGCCCGCTATATGATTAAAGGGCAGTTCTGTTGTCATTATTATTTTGGGAAATTGCCATTGCAATTCTTTAATTGGCTGATAAGCAGAGATAAGGCAATCACACAGTGAATGAACACAAATCTACCATTACTTTCAGGCAGTGCCGTAATATCCCTGAAGGAAAACAACTGTGGTGTTCACAGTCTCAATCACTGCTAGAAAGAGATATCCAATTGCAAACACGCCTTCCTTATCAGTGGAGCAGAAACACAGAAAAAATAACAGAAATTAAGCGGCTATTTTGTATTTCTGTTCCTCTTATAAATGACACACCTGAAACTAATCCCGCTGCTTGACTGGCACCTCCGTTTGCCAGCGCCGCTACACTTGTGATTTGAATAATAAAGTCTTGTATTTCCCACGAAAATGTCTTTGACGTGAAGCAAAAAACTTCCACCTGAACGGATTCTGTTTTTCCGAGATAAACAGGCGCCGCCTCAGCGGGCATTGATTTCATTCAGCATTTGGTTAAAGAGACGTTTTAAATGCTAATCGATGAGTCTTTCTCCCGGGTAAGTAAATGCACTATAACTTGCTTATGTGCATCTGTTTTGACTTTAATTGCTTGTTGTTTAGTTTACAGCCGAAATGAACAATTAGTGCATTGGTGCCTTCTACATCTGCCGTGCTGCTGTGTCCATGTGACTGTGTCCTTTTCCTCTGCAGGACAAGTTAAAGGTTGTTAGCAGTTCTGCATAAACCATAAAAAAATAAAATACTGTAGACAATACGTGAGTGTTGTTTACAGTGTTGATTCTATTCACACAATGAGATATCTTAAATTGTCCCTTCTTGTTTTCAAACTAACGATCATGAGCAGATGCAAAGAACAGATTCACAAATATAGGCTTTTTTTGTTTGCTTGTTCTGGGATGTTAGGGATTTAAGCAGTGGACACGTAGTAGTAGAAATTATAATACATGTAGTAATGTTTAGTGTCAGAAGTTTGTGTGATGTTAGATAGTAGTTATATATATTAGCATATTAGATAAAATAATTGCCATATGAATCAAACACAATTTAGCATCATTTAAGTCATATAATTACTGTACACATTAACATCCTGCCACAACGTAACGATAAGACTTGATGACGGGTGCTAATTGCTAATAATGGAGTTTAATGGGGTTTTTCCAATTTTCTCCCCAAAGAGGGTTTTTGTGGAGTTTTATCTCTTGTCAAATAGTGAATGAGCAAAGGATGTACGACAGCCCTGCGAGGCAAATATTCCGATTTTGGACCATATAGAACTGAGTTAAACACAATGGTTAAAAAGTGATGAACTGTGATTTAAGATGTGTTATTATAAGTGAACTAGCTATTAGATGCTGATATTATGCATGCTTTGTTATGTTTACATAAAGCAAAGCAAAGGTGTGATCATTGAATGTTCTGCAGTATTAAGTGAACAGGGATCGGTCAGGTTAGTGAGGGATTTCAGATTCCACCATCAGATGGAGCCAGGTGGGAGTCATGTGATGCCTTGGAGCAGAAAGAAATTCACATGGGAGGAGCTGGGCTTGAATATCCAGTAAATTCTTTATCATTTATAACATCGAGCCAGTTGACTCTTTTTAATAACTTCTCGTCTAAGAAGAGCCAAGGGTAACAGTATTGTTCCTCGACCATAGGTCACAATAAGACCATTAGCTTCTGGTTGCTAAGTAGCTAGTCTGCAAACTTTGGTTTGAACTTGCTGTGTCATTCTTTAGTCAGTTTCCTGACCTGAAAATCACAAAAATACCAATGAGATGTTAATTATTTGCAAATACAGAGTTAAATGTGTCACCTGTTCCATGATGTCTTTAACTTTGTCCTGCTCACAGTCCAGAATGACCCTTCTCTCTTTCTTTGTCTCCAAATCTTGGAACAGAGAGCGGTAGGCCTCGTCCTTCTTCTCGTCTTTCAGGTTCCCCACGTTGATTGCCGTCACTTGCCACTTCCTCTCTGCTGCTGTGTCCAAAACTACCTGCAGCGTCGTCAGGCCTGCGGACCGAGAGCGGAGTTAAAACATTCATACCATCTGACAAAGTCAGTGCAGTCAGAACCTTTGTTTTTTGGAGATGTCCTGCCGATGAAACCAAAAACTGGTTTTTATATTTTTTGTTTCCGCACAGTACCCACAGTGTTTTTTTCCAATTTCCTTGAAACCAGCCTCCTGCAATGGAGTGCACGTGGTTTGTATTCCATTTTCTGTGTGTCTTTTGTAAGGGCACAGTCACATACACACTTTGCTAACATGAAGAAAAGTCATGACAATGAGAGCACAAACACTGATGGCAGGAGAAGAAAAGATATACCATGAGTGAACATATCTCTTCCACTATTGACTATCCGACTATTCCAATTACAAAGAATGAAGGCCTTGTGTAAAGAGCTCATCCGATGACTCACAGGTGTACTGCCATGAACCTGACCAACATGTGGGAGGAAAATAGCTCCGACAACACGCCAGAATACATCAATACCAAACGTTTGATAATGTTAACTCAATGTTGAAACCACAATAGTGGAGAAGTCCTAAAACGTTTCAGCATCACCTGCTTTTAACACTATCAGCTGTTGGAAAATCGCCTTGTCGGCAGTTATAAACGCTCCATATGTTTAAAAAATATCAAATTTCCATGAAAACCAAGCGAACGCGGCCTTCAAATAATGTGCATACAATGGCCGAAAGCTCCAATCCAGTATAGAATGGGCTGCACTGGGTCCATTCCCTTTCACTACCCTTCTCCTGACCTTTAGGGAAGGCTTTCTCCATCCCTCCATCATCCACTCCAGATGACTGAATGGCTTCATTTGATGCACTGAGCCTGGGGCGACTGACCCGTGTCTCGTACCGGAGTGAGTGTTCACTAAACAGTCTTTCTATCACCACCATCTTATGCGCTCGCCTGTTTAATCCTTTACTCCAGAAACATAAAACAAAATGATACGGGGAAGAACAAGTGTTAGTTTTCAATTCAAATACACAAAGCACCTTTCCCTCAATCTGAAGCAAAGCCTATTAAAGGCGAACACAACAGTCTCCACTTGGACGTACGTTGGTGTCACCCTCTCGATCTGGTTTCACCGCTGGACGTCTCTCCGATATCGATCCGGAGTCGGCAGAGTTTTTATAAAAAGGTTGAGCGTTGACTTGTACGGTCATCAATTTCACGCAATGCCGTGATGCATTCGTGATGGAGCGCAGGGAAATGGAGGCTTGTAGTTTTATCTGAATGAATTACACATTGTAATTACACTAAGGCCATAACGGTGTGGTTAAATTTGACTTTTTAATCATTGCTTATCAAGAAAAATAATTTGAATTTAGATTATTTGACAGAAAGATTCATTAGGAAAAAAGCAACGTTAAGAGTAATGGTTGATTCTAATTTAATTGTGGTTTGTTTAAAGGAACTCTGCTTTACCCCGAATATGAAGAGACATAGATGTGTACGCATGTTAATAATCAGTTTACATCGTGAGGTCTAAATAATTATTATCTAAAGAGGTCATTAAAAATGATGCAGTGAAATTTCCCCAGAGCTTGACATCAGTGCGGCCAGAGTCGGTGCGTCTTGCTCTGCTTGATTTTTAAAATGATAGTCACGTTGGCTGGGAGGTTTTCTTTAATACTGGATAGCTAAAAGTCTGAAATCATGTTTAGCCTGTATTCTAAATAAGGGAAAAAGCTCATACTATTTACTTTAGTTAAATCGAACTGGATAAATTGAGCTAAGTCAAAATCACAAGCGCACTATAAAAGCGGAATGAAGGTTTAAACTGATCTTTCTTTATTAGCAGTTGGAGGCCTTCAGGGGAAAACAAGAAACGTATCATTAATTGCTTGCTTTGAATCATTGACTGAAAAGTCAATATCACCTATAAGCAATGTGATTTGTACATCAATGGCTACACTTAATGCGTTACTCGGTCCAGCTCCATTAAATGTGCTTTCTAAAAATTCTGTAACTTCTGTGGTCATGCAAAAATGGACTACGATGCATTTTGGTTTACAAGCAGCCATTGAACTACATGGAGGGGTTCTAAACCCATAAACAGTACATTCTACTAGTCGTATCCTTGCCAGCTAAGAACATCCAAAGCATACCAAAGCAGTGTGCATGTGTGTTGTTAGTTCCCATAATGTTTAAGTAATACTTGGGTTTAGTGACTGAAACATTTCTGGCCATGGTTTTAAATAAAAGTAGACAGGGGCGGAGTGAGATTTAACATCCAAAAACAGTTCCATAGATGTCTTTACCACTCATTTGATAACCACAATCCCTTCAAATGGACAATGTCATATAATAATAAATAACAAAAACTTTTGTTATATTCAAATACATAACGCAAGCGGGGACTTGGCTCTGCTGGCTTCCTCTGCAGTTCAAAGACTGCTGAATGCAGCATATTCCCCTCGGATTAAACTGGTTTGCTATCGCTCCGCCTCAGAATGAGACATATGTTGTGTCCCGGCTTGCCGCCAAAATTATGCACTGCCGTTGCAGCGTTGCACCGATGTAACCTCGCACAAGTTTTTCGGGGTCAGGGTGGAAATCAGATACATGAACTAGTTTGTCAAATGATACCTTAGCAATGTGATAAAACATAGAGATAATCATTGACTTGATCAACCACATGCTGATGAGTTGACGTATGTGTCTTTTGATCATATGCAAAATGGGATGGAGACTATTCAAATGAGGCAAGTAAACGCTGATGAATAATTCATAGAGGAAAGCTGTTCAATAGCGGCTTCATATGAGCTATAATCTCGTTGCTTCTAGCTATTGTTTCCTCACATGTACAGTGGTACAGGTTGAACATCCTTCTACAGGTATAGAGTACAACCCCACTTCTGCATAATACGAACTAAAGCACCACTAAATGATACATGTGGCAGTAGTGTTGGCAAACTTGATTCCGCAAAAGGTAATTGAGATAAAAAAATGTATGATTAAGAGTCCCAAATATTGTATAATTACTAATTAACACACTCACAGCAAGCCAATGGTTACATATATTGTTAACAAAAGTAAGAAAGCACAGCAACTTATTTAGATAAATAAAATGTTATCATTGTCACAGACGACCCTGACGCTTTATTCAAAAATACCCAAATTGGTTGTTTTGTTATATTACAGATAGATATTTAACCCAGATATATGAAATAATATATCAAAGTTGATCTGGCATTTTATCAAACTACTGCTAGTTTACACGTCATGCTAAGTAGCATTAGCAGTAACTGTAAAAACAGTTGAAACTGAAGCTACAGCCACATTTAAAGCGCTCACACCACAGCTTAGCTTTCCTCACAAAGTGCTGTAGAGCTGAGAGGGACGTCAGCATCAGACAAGTTTGTCACTACCCCCAAAAACGTCCACAAGTACAAAGTCTTTGATTTACTGTTGATTCATATCACTTTAATGCCAATATACCATTTGGTTTAGCAATAGTTAGCTTGCCGGTATTAGTGGCTTTGTAGCTAAATGAATTTAATTATTGCTAAACCTCAGAAGGGTTTAATTCCCAAAGATTAACAAAATTGAAATAAATTGTAACACAATGTTGCCCCAAGAAAGAATTGTGATGATTAACACAAATAATTTGTGTCCGTATTTTGTGATTATCTCACAAACTGCAGTGAGACTGTCGCATTAAAGATTCAAGTTAAAGCAACCACTCATGGCAAAGGAAAGTTTGAGCTTATATAAAGACAACGATTTTTACCAACCACTTAATGGCATTAAACATTCACATTAAACAAGATATTACTCTAAGAAGCAGTGCTCCATCATCAAACGGGTCATGTAGGCATTCACGGGTCCAAAGCAATGCCGACACGGTGGGCCTGAGAGGGCCGATACGCCCCCGTACAGTACATCCATTTTCAACTCTGACTGACTGACAACAACTGACAGCCGTAGTGTCAGTTCAGCCACTAGTCCCAATGTGCCGACGTCCTTTCTCATAACCAGTGGCAACTCCGTTGGCTCATCTTCCTCGACTCCGTCTTTGACTCGCCCAGACACTTACAATCCGTCCCTCTTTCTGTGTCTCTCTCCACACTTCTGTTGCCATGGGAATGAGAGGATCAAACTGACCTAATTAGACAGCAGTGCAATGATGAAGTATGCACAACGGGCCCTTTAGCGGCACGGTGGACGTATGGTAGAGTCATCGGTCCGAGCTAGCGTTACCACGACGACAACCTAAAACAGCTGATTAAAAGCTGCCTTCTGATTTTGGGGTCTGCTATCAGTCAGGGCAAGGCCAACTGGGAGGATGAGCAAAGGATTGTGGGAGAAGGGGCGGAAGAGCTTATGGAAAAAAGATGACAACAAAAGGTACAGCATACGGGGGATACGGTGGATGGATTAGGTAAAGATGCAGCGAATGTGGCGGGACTCTAAGTGAAACAATAAGTCACAGCTAACAGTCCTAAGTCATTGACACTATATTCACTGTATTCACCCTGAACACTGGCGGGTAGAAAGAGATTCCACCTCCTGTTACTTTAAAGCCATTTTCTAGATAGTCTAGACTTAGGAGTTTCATCAATGATACTGTAAATGTAAAAAAGGGCCTTAAGAAATGACAACACAACTATTTGATAATGCCACGCTAACTGGATTGTATAATTATTGTATCATGTTCAGTCATTGAAATATTTAAATACAGGATCTTTGGAAGACATTTCATTAGGAAATATAATCACTGAAGAAAGGGATCATAAAATACAGATGGAATGGATCATGAAGTACATCTGGATATTACAGTTTGAAGATGGATACATTTCCTGCTAGCAGGAAAACAATCAACGATCTCATCTGCTATCGCTATCACGGCTGCAACCATAGATCGAATAGGGAAGGAAACAGCTAAATGAACGATTTCTTTTCAACTGCAGACTGAAATAAGTGAAATCATGTTACAAATCAATGGACAGACCTGCATGTTGGTCTTGTTGGAGAACACTTAATCACCATCTACTAACCAGTGTATGTGTGTGTGTTTAGCAAACAGATTACTTCAGTAAAATCTTCCACACTTGGAGCTGTTTGGAACAGTGTCTACATTTTTTGGTAATTGCACATAAAGTAATCGGATAACTGCCCATATCTCACATGTTTACATTGTTCCAAATTTGTAATTCAACCGTTCTCAGAATATAAATATTTAGCCAAAATATAAATATTTAGCAACTTACGGCCGCCACCGTTAAGTTTAGTTTTTTTATAATTTTGGTCCATTTTTTGGTCCATGGAGTGTGGAAGTGCGTAACTGCAGGGCACATCACCTTTACTGCACGTCAAAGATGGCTCCTCTTGATGTTACGTAAAACAGGCGCCCGAACACAGGAGGTGTTATAGTTGATTGAATGTGACAAGCTCTTTGTCAGAAGCCAACATGCCCTTTACCTGGATGCAACTGTTGCGTGTCACATGCTCATGGTCAGCTTGTTTTAACAATAACTGGATTGAATGCTGAAAGAAACATTTGGAACACAATCTTTGGATTTCACGAGGTCAAATAGTTAAAACCAACATCATTTAGGCAAAGGGCAATGGACGATATAAAAAAAACGCGATTTTTAAAGAGCAATGCTTTTGTTTTTTAATCTAGGTAGCAATCAATAGCTGCTCTTTTCAATTACCTAACAAAGGTGTTTTGTTGTGTAAGCAAACCCAGTTAATGTTGAAACAAGGCTTTCTTCCATGACTGTAACTAATGGTGCAACATATTATAAAACTCACACTTTGGATCAGAGTCACAGATCAGGTGGCATGTCGGACAATATCGCAAGAGCACAAAAGAAAACAAGGAGCAACTACGACTTTTAGAGATGCTTTTTTTGCTGCCAATTCAATGGCATCAATCGTTTTCTATTCATATTGGCAGATACTTCTCCACATGTTGTTTGATTATACAACTGTTCTACAGACGTTGGTGGTAACTTTGGTGGCACCTGTAAATCAGACCCGCAAAGAAGCTTTGAAAGCGCGACTTACCTCGGTCACTGTCGTACAGGTAGGCAAACTTATCCCACTTGTAGTACTCGATGAGGCTGAGGAGGGGCCCCTTGATATCGGGTCTCATCTGGATGATGAACTGCTGATTCCCGTCCAGGGGGAAGCTGGGCGTGATGAAGGAGACGTGGAGCGTCCCACAAAAGGACGTGATGGTGTTCACGGACTTCTTGTCGTAGAATCCGAAAATTGCGTAAACTCCTCTTGAGAACTGCGAACAGACTGGAGCAGAGGAAAAGGATTGTTTCAGCACACATCCCCTGAATCGGAATGAACAACACGTTTCCTCTGCCAAACAAACCGCGGACATTTATTGAGGACGCTTGCAAAGCTATAATTCACAACTGTGTGTACGTCCAGGGCTGTTATCCAAATCCTTTGGAACGCGGACGCTAATGGTCGCTTCTGCTTTTCTTTCTGCAAATTCATAGATAGCTGTCCGTAAGCTCCGCCGGGGGAGTGCTTGAATTCAACCGCAGAAGATCCAGTGTACGCCTGTCTCTGCGTGAAACTTTTATGAGCCGCTTCTCTGCCTTTTTGATATGGCGGGAATAAGCGATGCTGAGTGTTTCAAAGATTCAGCAAAACTGGCCATTAATTCTTCACATTGGGTATCCATCCTTAATGTACCACGATATGTTGTGTATGTAATGTAATGTTTCTGTTTGATTTCAGTACTTAAGAGCCCATTAGACCCAACTGATCCCCACTGTTAGGACCCGTTGAGGTTACGCTTCCAGCATTTATGATGACACCATCTTTGCATCAGATTATTCGATATTCGGACCTCATCTTGTTGACTCAGCAGAAAAATCCCCTTTGTTCAATAATTCATAACTGCTTGCTCGAGTACATACAGTACAGTAGCTCTGCTGGGCGCCAGCATCCATTATGCACCGACCGGAAAAGGGCACCGGAGACCAACGTGGACACCGAGGGTCCAACTAATCTCGAGATTGCAGGCTGTTTATCAAACATTTTACCCGGGTCAGCAGATAGGAACGTCGCTTGTAAACGCGTATTGATCAAATGAAAGTTAATCAGGCTCATTGACTTGTACACATGTGTCTTCCAATGTAATTAATCTAATGAGTCATATCCCTCGCCACAATAAAAGGGGGATGACTTGCTGACCAAGGGAAGTAGAGTCTATATATCATGTATAATATTACCTGGCTTGGTTTAAATACTGTAGGCCTTTCTGCCGCTTCTGCACCGGCTGTGGCAGCTATCACTGATGAATTGAAACACGAGGTCCCGTAAAGAGTGTGTGCAGGTCTCAGCAACATGGGAAGGCGGGAATTCTCATAGACGCTTTGCTTTGCACAGTGAATAGTCTTTACAGACACTTTGTTGTACTGTTAAAGACTAAGCAGCTTTATTAGGTAAGTTTGGCTCCAAATGAACACAAGCTCATTAAAATGTGTCTCTGGAGAACAGATCAAGCTTTCCTTCTTTGATCGTTCTGCTGAACACGACAGACTCATTTGGACCGGGCAGAGTTTAGAGTAAACTTCTGTCTCCAGGTGAAAGAAGGTGTTTTGGAACCAACTGTTTGTCCCCGTAGATGGCACAATAAAATCTCCACACGTAAGACTTGCAGGCGAGTATTTCGCATTTTTCACGTTTATTTGTCAAATCCACATGTGTTTACAAGCCCGTAGCCACTTGGTCAAATACTAGAACACACACCACTATTGTGTGAGGCAGCGAGAGTGTTCCTTAAACGTGTTCTCTATTTAGACTGCGTTAGTCCATCATTAAGGCTAATTCAACCCGTCCTTGTACTCCCCAAAACACGCAGAGCTCATCAAGAATGGGCCAATATGATGATGGCGTCCTAATCTGTACCGATCCATCGACTCGAACAATAAAATGTTTGTCCGGGACAAACAGCTCGTGGGCCGGTGGGACAGTTCCTTATACTCTTAGCAGACGACAGCGTGGCCACAGAGACATCAGACCTCACTAATCCCAATTCACTTATTTTTTTTGTCTAACCGGGAGCTAATAGAACCCAGAGTGTTTCGTCTGTTTAACTGTCGCCATCTAATTGGAAATTGTGCTGCAGGATTCAGTGAAGGCGATGAAACGTTCCTCAGAGGAGAAGTTGGGTCACATGATAAAAAGCCCTGGCACTCCGTTTTGTAGGTTACAAGTCTGACATTTTTTTATTTGGTTATAGTTTTTAGGACACATTTGCCTCCAGAGGTAAAAAGAAAAGAGTGTCAGTGAGGGCGGGAATAACAGGTCCGCCTTTTGTCTCCATTATTTAACATTTTTGTTTGTTTTGTTTGTTGAAACGACATGTTCGTATAGTTATAATTAATCACTGTGCACAATATAAATAACGAAATAATTGTGCAACAGCAAAATGAAGTTTAATGTATCATCCATTAACCTTTGCTCAAATCTGCTCCTCATTGACTTTTAGTGTTGATATTTGCTACACGTTATTGTGATGTAACTGTACATAATAATACTACACTGTATAATTGAAAATGCTGCTTTACACCAAGTATATTATTTGAATAATTCCTCCACCATCGGCGACGTAAGACATATTTGAAAATAAAATGTTGTTCATTGTGATTGTCCTTTGTTTCACAACAACATCCCACTTGATTCTCCAGCGTTATCTCCTCTTTATTACCGTCCAAGAAGAGGACGCCCTTCACGGAGGTTTATGACTTATTTCATGTTGCAAAACATGACAAAGATGGGATATTTATGCCTGGCAGTCCAAAAAACATCCCATCACATCATGGCATCATGTAATATAAATAGTGTACCCCTGAAGCGTTTACAGCTGCAGCATCCGTCCATTGTCGTCCTTCTAAGGCTTCCCCTCCCCGCAGGCTCTCGCTGGTGAGCTTGCTGCGGGATTAAAACTCTCTGAGCGCACGCTGAGGGAGGCTGGATATCCTCCATGATTGGGCTCCAGCTTAAGCCAGAGCGAACAGTTTGACAACATGTGACTTTAGGACCAAATGTGCAAATTCACATTCCGGAAGCCAAGCGCACTCCCCGTTTCTCCACAGAGCGGCTGTTCAGGGAGGATCCCGCCGGCTTTGGAACGTGACAATAAAAGAATGATGAGCTTTTTTTAGTGGGCGAGACATCTACGCGTGCCTCTTCAGTGGGGAGTTCAGGGATGTTTAATCAGGTAAGCAAAGCAATGGCACAAACAGTGAGGATACCTGGCAGGTTCGCTCAGAGAAATCCAAACACAGAATGAATATAAGTCACTGGGTGTTTTGAGTTTGAAGCTTGGGGCACTTCTAATACTGACATAGTGGTTACAGACAACAGCGCATAGAGAGTAACACACTGGTTAGCATATGTGTGGTCGTTGCTGTAGGATCTGGTTGGTCTACACAATTATTTACTAAGATTCTTCATTGTTCAATTATTTCATCACTAAATCAGGGATATAATAAAAAATGTTGATGAGGAAAATGTAAAAAAATATATATCATTGTTACATCTGACAAAACAAAGTTAGGATTTAAAATTGCTCTTTAAAGCACGGAATAGAAGACGAAAAGATGAGTCAATGTGCAAAACTTATTGGTTTATCGTCAAAACTGCCTTCAGAATTAATGGAAGTTGAAGCGCCCTGCAGCTTGGCTTCCTCACAGCCGTAACTGAGCCCGAGCTGCTTCCACCAGCATTCACGCAGTGTTTTAGTTCAGCGTAAATCGTTTGGGTCGGAGAGATTATCTTTGTAAAAACTACGCCGTTGCTGCCGTGTGACATTCTGCGGTCACCAACAGGTCCCAATGACCTCATTTCCTCCAGCTGTGACTTTCAAAAGGAGAAGGGGCACCATGTGAGACACATTTAGCCGTCCTAATTAGCTGACCTCGTTTTAACCGCCGTGGCGCTGAAGGCATCACAACCACTCCACCTCTGTTTATATTACATCTCGGTCACGGATCGTTAATTAAAACTTAAGCATAAATGAACTGCTACTAAAACACAAAAATTCTGCTGACACGTGATATCAGTGTGGAAAGTCTGTTACACGTACTGTTCATTTATCTTTTAGCAAGACTTGTTATTCCGTGTTCACTTCTTTGCAAAGTCATTTAAGTTTAATCAGCTGAAACGAGACCCCAAAACAGGCACAAAAAACGAAACGAATACAAAGCCAATATTTCATTTGGAATTTTTCTGAATGTTTGATTGGTATCATTCCAACCTTTGGACCTTGTATCTGTCTGTTGTGGCTGACCATGGCATGGAGTTAGACGTTTTAATTCAGAACTCCATTAGAAATAACTGGAAAAAATGAAACAGAAGGAGCAATTAGGTTTTATCGCCGGCTTTACAAGTAGTTTTTCATTCAGCTCTAACGAGCAGAGAGGGCGTATATTGAATTAGCGTCGGACGCCATCAGATATTTAATGGAGGAGCAGCAAAAGCCCGCTGCATCAGTGAAACGATGAATCAGTTTAACGCTCTCGCACAGACCGGGTCACCGCGGCGACGGTCATCAGCAGTCCAGTCACAGCGAACGGAACTGACTGTTAGATATCTCACCCTCTGTCCGACGCTCCTGTTCTCACCAGGAGAAAAGGCCTTCGGGCCGTGGGACTTTTATGCAAAACTGATCTGTCACCAGTTGGAGAGCCGCCACCCCGTCTGTCTCACAGAAGCGCGAGCACATGTGTCACCGGCGTAGTTGCTGCCGGGCGACATTCTGACCTTGTGTACCCAAAAGAATCTGAACAAACAATATACGTGTTTTTTTCCCGTCCTCCAAAAGGAGCCATATGACCAAAAAAACTTGTGAGATTACCAGCCGCGCTGCTAGCCGATGTTTCCAGGTGTGATTTAGGCAACAAAAATGTCATCAGCAAATACTTTTACAATGTCTCGTTGGATATTCCTGTAATGTCTGTTATTTCCAGCTAAACCAGGATTATTGCAGCAAACTCAAAAACCAGCACTTTTTAAAATATAATCACAGGGATTGCCAGATATTTTAAAATGAAATAAATGTGTACACAATAGACACATTTCATGCATTTGAAAAGAACAGCGTGCCTTTGCCAACTGTAGTGATGTTTTGAAGGCCTTTGAGAGTCCTCATGTCTTTCTCTACTTCCTTCTAATTAAACCGCAGACAAAGATGTTTCTGTATTGAGCCCATAACACAAGAACAACTAGTAGTATGTTTTTAATGACCGGCTCTCAGATGAATTCTGCTTCACACC